TGTAAAATTCCTCTCCTTCCTCTGTCCTAAGAAACCATTCACAGGGCCAGCCAGATAGCTCAGTGGATTAAAGCGCCTGCTTAGGCAGACACAGGACCTGAGGTTCGATCCCTGACATGCTGTGCCTGCCCAGCTGAGACAGTGACCGAGACTGGGTGTGGTGGCATGTGCCTGTAATCCCAGGCCTTGGGAGGCTGAAAACAGGAGGATCACTAAGAGTCTGATCTGTGTAGTGAAACCCTGTAGACCCTCTACCAAATAGAAAAAGAAGGAAGGGGAGAGAGAGAGAGAGAGAGAGAGAGAGAGAGAGAGAGAGAGAGAGAGAGAGAGAGAGAGAGAGAGAGAGAGAATGCGCACATTGCCACAGTAATTGTGTCTTGCTATGACAATGTCCCAACACCAGTGTGCTGCCCCTCAGCCGGGTGCAGTACCCTGATGAATAATAGATTGTCAGTTGACAGTTGTGGATTAGCAAGTTGGTGGTTTGGTGTGTAAAGTGCTTGTTTTATGTTTTAAACTAATCAGGCATCACTCCTCTTAACACCTTATTTTGTCATGGGATTCTGACATTTTCAGACTTGGAAAAGTTGTTTTACTTGTGGTTCTCCAAGCTAGTCTATGCAGAAAGCCTTGAGAATACAAAAACAGAAAAGTGCTGTACGTGCTTCCCTCTTCTGAGAAAGAAAGATAAGGAGAAACTCTGTCTTGGGGACACTTAAGAATTAAACAAGGTGAAGCACATAAGATCATTCCTAGAACACCTTGCACAAGTTATCTACCCAACTAACATTTGGGTGGAGCTACTATATCTAACCTCCATCAACTTGCACCCAATTCACAGTCATGCCCCAGGCTTCTCGTGCACCCACCTCACTTAGCTTGCATCTGGCGTAAGGGTCTGGTCTGACTCCCACCATGCCCACCATGTTCACCCATTGTCCATTCCCAGTCCTTCATACCTATAGAAACGCCTTGAAACATTTTCCCTAACTTGGGTACCAAAGTGCCAATGTTCACTGCAGCATTCAAAACTTTTAACGCTCTCAAGGTGTGTTATTTTTGAGTCTTTTCCTCCCTTTCTCAAAGTAAAGGTAAAGCACAGATTGATTCCTCTACTAAAGATTAACTACTTAAGTTTCTCATTTATTTCTTCGTATTAATATATTTTATCATGAAAAGGGGTAGGAAGAAGCAGGAATCTCGTTATATTACAGTAGTGATGACGAACCTATGGCACGTGTGCCACAGCAGGCTGTTACTGTTGAAAGCTCTAAAAGCTTCTCCATCCCTGCTGCATAGGATGCAGCAGTCTCAGGAGAACAAGATCTCGGAACCAAATGGGCATTAAACAACTCTGCAGTTGAAATTCCATGTTAAAATAAGATGAGGGCCGGGGAGATGGCTCAGTGGAATAAGCGCTTCCCTGGCAAGTGCAAGGGCCTGAGTTCAATCCCCGGTTCCGCCAAAAATAAAAAATAAAATAAAATAAGATGAAAGAACATTACAAGAGGAAGTAGCTTGCCCAAACGCTGTGCTCTATCTGTACATATGTTTGGCATTGCAATTATATTATATATGCAATTTTGCATCCTGCTTTCCAGCTTATTTAAAAAGCACTTTCTATGTGGCCACTTCAGTGCTCTGTTCTCATGAAGGCCCCTGAACACTGAATGTTTTATGCTTTAGGATATGTATTTTATCACTACTGCCTCTAATTGTCCTCTTCACATCCCCAATAATTTCTAATTAATATTCCTAGTCTCATTGTGCGCAGCCCCTTAAGCACAGTAGCTCATACATTTTGTCTCTGAACATTCTGTCTTTGTATTTTACGTCCTGTTTGTGTGCTCCCCAATACAGTGTGACTTCAATTGTATAATGACAGATGTGCATCCGCACACCCCATCCACCTTTCACAGACCCCATCCATCTTCACTGGGTACAACATCTTCCCATGCTGTAGGAAATTCGCAACTTATGGATCCAGAGCATTTAGAAAAGAGGCATTCTCAAAGCCATACCACTCCTCTAGCTTCCTGTTTTCCTCCTGTTTCCTTAGCCCACCTCACTATCCACTCCAAGTATCCAAGGGACAGAGGAGTCGCTCTTGATGTTGTCCTGGGCCTTATTGTCTTTGATTGATACTAGGTGGTTTTCAGCACCACTGTGAGGTTGCTTTTTTTTTTTTTTCGGAACCGGGGATTGAACTCAGGCCCTTGCACTTGCCAGGCAAGCGCTTATTCCACTGAGGTATCTCCCTGGCCCCAAATTATTTTTATTGTTTTGTGGAACTGGGGATTGAACTCAGGCTCTTGCGCTTTCCAGGGAAGCACTTATTCTACTGAGCCATCTCCCCGGCCCCTGAGGTTGCTTTTTAAAGGGAAGGTTGGCTAAACCATAGTGAGGAGACTCACACTGAAAATGGAATGCAAGGTGCTGGGCAGAGATGGCAAGAACACACTAACACAGCTGGTCAAGGAACAAAAACAGAGAAGTATCTATCATCTCATTGTGCAAATATACACTTCCCTTTGCTTACTATACTTTCAGCAAGCTTGGTTTAAAAAAGGAAGAAGACAACACATTTGCTACACTTCTCCTGCCTGTGTTACTAGCTCCCCTTGTAATCAGTTGCATAATTCTCTCATATACCCTGAGATATTAATTCTACTGACACCTTGCTCCTTAGACCTTTGCATTTGTGCTATTCTGTCCTCCTGTTTTCTATTGTGGGAAAGCCTTCACCATCCTTCAAAGTCCAGTTCAAGCTTACTCCAGGCATGTCTTTGGCCCTAAGAATGTGCTTGCTGCTGCCTCTGTCTGCCCATTGTGTCTGGTTCTATTACTGGCACAGCACTCTCACAATGTACTACTCTTGACATGCTCATGTCTGTTTCATTTTGTTCACCATAATTTCCTTTAGTCCTGGTCTGTCTCCTATTCTTGTTGGAATTTCAAGGGTCCATCACATGGTTGGCATATCATAGGTACTCAATAAATGCCTGCCGCATTTTTTTTTCAAAAGTTCAACTATTGTGGTCTTCTAACTTTTTGTTCCAAGAGCACGATTATTTACATGACATTTGATCTAATGCAGGGTTAATTTCCATTGACAAAACCATGCATAGCCCTTTATTGTAATGCAGGGAGACACCACAGATCTATTCCTCTTTCCTTTAGTCTTTGTTTAAATGTAAGGTCTTAGAACTTTCTCTGAATGGAGAAGCTTAACTCTGAAGAATGAACTTCTTGGCTGGGTGTGGTGGTACACCCCTGTAATGTACCCTGAACCACACAGCAAGACGCTGTCTCAAAACAATGAGCTTCTTATTGCCTGTTAACTTCACATGCAGCTTCCTGCACAGAGGCATCAAGATGCGTTGCTTAGAAATCTTGCCCAAGGGAAAATCATAAGGGACAACCAAAGACGGCTGACCATCTCACTCGTACAAGGACATAATTGAATTTATTAAGAAAGGAAGAGACAAAAGTAAAGGATGGACCTGACACAAGAAGCCCAAATGACAGGAACGGTGCCTCACTCGTGTCTAAGCTTACCTGTGTACCACCAGGCACATGGTCTTTGTCCTCAGCTAGAAATCGGGGAACTATCCATATTTGCTGGTATCATTATTTATTGCAAAGTATCATGAATGAGTCAGTGTGGTTTAAGAAATTAGAAACAAATCATCAGGGATGGGTTTCTCAGAAATTTTTAGAACTTCTTAGCCCACCCTGATTCATACAAAAATTGTCTCTCTGTGTAATAGGAGAGAGCAGATAACCAGTTGGATTTTAGAAATTATCAATCCCAATAATCCCATTATAGCCATATTTACACAAACTATCTATATCCAGATGGCCTACATACTACATACTAGTTTTAAGATCTTGAGCCATTTGTTTAAATTCCATGAGCCTCAATTTCTTAATCCATAAAATGGGAATTATGCATCTTATCATAAGCAATTATTTTTAATATTACAAAAAAGATGTATAGAGACATTGAGGTAAAAAGGCTGCCCTAAAACAGGCCTTTAAAAATGTGAGTTCCAATCATTGTTTTCCTTCTAGATAATCACAAGCTGAACCCATATTCCAGGAAATTAGCTTGGAATGATTCTGTAAGGGGAATGGGCTGGGGGATTTACAGAAGCTGAAATCTGAGTGAGGAGATTAACACTGAGAGGGTCCTCCAATGTTTTAGCTCTTCAAGGACTCAAAGCGTGCACTTTGACCTTCACTTTGAATGTAGGGCGGTAGGTATCATGCCACTCTCTGCAGTATATGCTAGAGGAGTAATATGGGATTCAGAAGACCCTGGAGATATCCAGGACAGCTGCCCAGAGCACAGGACACCTGACTTGACATTTGTCAGAGAAGTAAGGCTTAGTCACATAGATGAGACTTGAACAACAGGGTCCTAAGGCAAGGGAGGAAGGTCTAGGGGTGAAAAGATGTCTGCTGTATCTTCCTAAAGCAGAGTTGGGCAAAATGGAGAGCATAAAAAGACATCAAGTCAAGAAGTGATATAACTAGAACTTGTTTTAGAAATACTAGGTAGAAAATAACAGTGTGTACTAGCTAGGGATTTGGACCTCTGAGCTAGCAGAAAACTGCCCCAAAGTTGTCCTTGAGAGCTGAACAAACAGGGTAGAAGAAAGCTGAATGGAGGCCACATATTCATCTATTAGGGAAGTAGAACCTACAGACAGAGTAACCCGACTGGAGGGTAGGGAAACGGAAGCAAACAAAACAGAATTTTATACCTTGCAAGACAATATGAATGGTGGTGCCAGTCACAAAAGTAGGGAACATAGGTTTAGGAGTAAGAAAACAGAAGGTGCAATTCAGGACCCATTGAATTCAGGAGGTCCTGAGACCTCTAATTGAAAATACTCAGCCGATACCTGTGCAGGAGGCCTGTGGGCATGCCTGAGTAGGACAGGGAAGTTTTGACAGTCCCGGGGCATCTGACCACATCCATTCTCTGTTTTCAGTACTTTGTCTTCACCGGGGTGTTGGCCATGGTGACCTGTGCAGTTTTCCTCCGGCTGAACTCCGTCCTGAAGCTGGCTGTGCTTCTGATTATGATTGCCATCTATGCTCTGCTGACCGAAACCATCTACGCAGGTCTCTTTCTACGCTATGACAACATGAACCACAGTGGCAAGTAAGTACCCACCACCACACACCCAAAAGGTGTTCCACCACCAGTAGGAAGTGGAACCATTGGGGAAGAGGTTGAGGTGGGATAACTGAAGCGCAGAGCATGATCTGATGTTGACTTTTACCTCAACTCAGACTTTCTCTAGCTGCCATATCTAGGCAAAATCTCTGCTTTTCAGTTGCAACACTTAGATCAGAATGGGCCAACCCAGGGCCATGGAGCAGGAGCTGAATGGCAGGAGGTGAGCAGCTGGCCAGGAGCAAAAGCTTGATGGTATTCACAGCCATTCCCCATGGCTGGCTTTACCACCTGAACTCCAACCTCCTGTCAGTTTAGCAGCAGCATTAGGTTCTCATAGGAGTGCAAACCCTGCTGTCAACTGCACAAGGGACAGATCTAGACTGTATGATGCTTACGAAAATCTAATCCCAAAACCAACCCCCTCCCCCACTGTGGGAAAATTCTCTTCCATAACAAGTCCCCGATGTTATGGAAAGATCAGGGACTACTGATTTAGATGAATTATAGATTAACTAATTCTTTAAAATTTAGAGTAAACAGCACCTGCATAGTAGACCAGGTCATCTCCAAACCTCCAAATGTATGATTTGTCTCTTACCAGCTCCAGGACTTGCAGGGCCTAATTTTAAATTTGGCTCTGGCAATACTAATAATAGCACACATTATGAACTGAGGACACGTGCTCCTTGCCTTGTGTTAGTTCTAAAACATACAAAAATACAGAAAGTAGTGTTCAGCCTAGATTCCTTAGAGAAAGGAACCTGAGGCAAGTCTTCATACATACTGATGCAACCCCAGGGCAAAAAAGTGAGGGGGAGAATTGAGAAAGAAAAGGGTAGGAGGAAAATGTAAGCTTTTGTCAGGTTATGCCTGCAGCATAAATTGTGAAAAGAGTCAGTGGTGCCTTGGAAGACCCATCACTGAGATGCTTGAAGTGTTTCTACGTAGGCTGTAATGCAGGAAAGAGCATCTCTAAACAGCGTAAGGCAGAGGAACGCTTCATCTGGCTCCTTCTGTCTATTTCCCACATTGGTCACAGCTCAGTCTTTGGGTTTGGGTGCACTTCCTGGTGACATTATTTGGCCTGTTGTACAGCTACCGGGGACACCGCGCCTCATGCAAGAAGTTGTGTAGTAGGAGAAGCCAGACATTGCATGCTGGGTTGATTGGACTCAGGTATAGAAACCCACAGGTCTAGCTGAGGCCAGAATTAGATTAGAGACTGTCAGTCTGAGAGAAAGATAATGCCAAGATAATCAAGAAGCTCAGAAAATAGGCCTGAGCCTAATTTTGATACATATTGAACCAACACCAGAAATGAACAATACTGGCAATCAGTCACCTGTCCTTTGCCATTTGTAAAAGAATAAAGCATATCAGAATTATTGAGTTTCCCTTCCCTAATGTTAATCTCTCTTTTTTCAAAAGCCAGTTCCTAATACACTTAGTAGCTATCCTTTCCATCCATGACTTTTATTATATACTTTTGCTATATCTCTATGTCATTTGTACAACATTGTACATGTCATAAAATGTCATATTTTTAGATCCATCTAGGAGATATCTATAGATCTAACTTGTTTTAGCTGTGTGTTATACATATTATAAGAACATGCCAAAATATATTTCATCCTTTGACTTATTAATGGACATATATGCTGTTACTACTTTTCTCTATCATAAAAATTGCTTCAGAAACTATCAGTAAACACGACTCCTGGGTCTTTATATAAAACTGCACTTGCTGGATTAGAGACTACCTGCATTTATCACTTTGAAAAACATAATATTACCAAATTGCCCTGCCACACAATTGAAGCAATTTTCCTCTTACACACAATGGTCCCAGTGCCTCTCATTCTCACCCACACCATTGTTGGACCTTCTACGTCTTGCCGAATTGGAGAGAATACATTTTTCCTTGCTGTTTTCACTTACACTCCCCAATGATGAGTTAAGTTGGTACTTTTTGGTTGTTGTTGTTGTTTACTTGTTGTCCTTTCAGGTTTCCTTTTACCTGAATTGCTAGGTCACATCTTTTGCTCATTGTTCTTTCCTCTTCCTTTTTTATGTTTCAATGTTGCTTTCAATTGCCCACATTTTTCTTAACAAATTTAGAAGAATTTTTTTCCCTGACAAATAAAAACTGTGTGTACGTATGGTGTACATAATTTTTATAAATAATGTGAAGTGACTGAATCAAGCTAATTAATATATGCATTTTGTGACAAACATTTTTATGGGGCTAGAACATAAAATTTACTCTCAGCAATATTGGTTCTTTATTTGTTTTTGTTTTTAAACCTTGTGACTTTTTTTTTTGGCGGAACCTGGGATTGAACTCAGTGCACTTGTGCACTTGCTAGGGAAGCACTTATTCCATTGAGCCATCTCCCCAGTATTAATTTGTTGCTGTTGTTGTTGTTTTTAGTTTTTCTCTGGTTTTGTGTTGTTGAAACAAGGTTTCACTGTGAAGCTCAGGCTGGCCTTGAATTCCCTACATAGCTCAGGTTGGCCTAAAACTCATTATGATCCTCCTGCCTCATCACAGCAGTTTTCAAATATACAATGCATTGTTGTTAACTATAGAAACCATGTTGTAATATAGGATCTCTGGAACTTATTTACCTTACCTAATAGAAATGTTGTATTCTTTGACCAACATTTCCCACTTCTCTTACCTGTTCCAAACCCAAGTTACCATAACTATATTCTCTGCCTCTAGAAGTTCAATATTTTTAGATTCTGTAACTAAAGAAATAACACTGGAAGTATTGGACTTCCAGTGCACAGCTTCTTTCACTTAACAAACTGTCCTTCAGTTTCACCTATGAGTATGTTGTAGAAAGTAGCAAGGTTTGTTCCTTTTCTAAGGCTTAATAGTGTTCCATTGGATATATGTACCACATTTTTTATCCACTAATCTTTTGATGGACAATTAAGTTGGTTTTTGATGCTCTTATTTTTATTTTTTAGTAAGGGTCTACAGGGTCTCACTACGTAGATCGGACTCATAGTGATCCACCTGGGTTCAGCCTCCCAAGAGCTGGGATTACAGGTGCACACCACCACGCCCAGTCTCAGTCACCCCAGGGGTAGGGCCAGCATGGCACACTATGTCTGCATAAGCAGGTGCTTTAATCCACTGAGCTATTTGGCAGGCCCTGGTCTTTGATATTCTCTTCAGCCTTATTCACCATAGTTCCTCATAATTCCTATATATGATGTGTGTCTACTACACATGTGTATCATACATTTTGTGTTTTACCCTATTTGATCCTCACAATGTTCTAAAGGACATAATTAAGGGAGGTCAAGAATTTCTCAGTTGCATGTGGCCAGTAAATAACACATCTGGATTTAAATATTGGTCTTTCTGGCTCCAGAATCCACTCTTAAGTATAGTGCCTTGTTTAAATCATGCTAATGAACTTCCCACCATGTTTCCAGGGTTTAGAGAAAGTCACTTCCCTCCCTGGACATCAATTCACTCACAGATGAAGTAGAAGATACATACTCCATCTGTATGAGACAGCTTGGGCAGTCATAATAAAATACCCTAAACCAGACTGAGTGACTTAAGCAACAGAAATTTATTTCTCATTGTCCTGGATGCTAAGTAGTTCCAGATACACATTCTAGCTTATAGAGGGCTTTCTCTCTAACTTGTACCCAACCACCTTATTGAGAGAGCGAGAGAAGAGAGAGAGAGAGAGAGAGAGAGAGAGAGAGAGAGAGAGAGAGCACTGATGTTTCTTTCTTTTTATTTAAGGCACCAACACTACTGGATTAGAGTTCCTACTTCTAGAACATTCTAGAGTATGTAGGACATTCTTAAGTATCTCCTTTTAGACCCTATCTTTACATATAGTTATATTGGGTGCTAGACCTTCAACATATGAATTTGTGGGAAATACAATTCAATTCATAGCACTATTCCAGAGCTATTATGAGGATCTGGTCTGTGTGGCACATAGTAGGTACTCAATATATGTTCATTTTTATTATCGCTTCTTTCTTAGAAGTTTAATTCTGAATTTGGTTTTGAGACATTCAGTAGATGTTTGTAGTTACATGTTTAAATAGGAATTGTAAAACTAAAGACAATCCCAAGCTCACTGCTGCTAAAATCAAGGTCAGTCATTGACTAGTCTTGTACTATCTCATTCTCTGCTGTAAACCTAATTAAATTACTAGAAAGCCAAGGATCTGAGTCAGCCCTCCACCTCAGCTACACCGTAAGGCAGCAACAGATCAGTGGCACTGTGTACCCAGTGGGCAGTCACAGGCTACTCATGCTGATGAGCTTCAGTTCCATGCTTTAGAGGCTCGTGCTAGCTCAGGACCATTTGTGCTGGTTGTTGCTGAGGTCTGGATATCTGAAGAAACAGATAAATCATCAAAGCTGAAAGACACCAAGACTCTTGGACTAGACAGTCTACTTCCTTCTTCATTAGGATGTTCCAGACCTGCATCGTTGTATACAAGTTTAGGACTTAAACCACCTGGATTACAATCTCAGCTCTCCCATAAACTAGACATGTGCCCTTGGCCAAGTTGCGTAAAAATGATCAACTTCCCTGAGGTTATTTTTCTTATCGGTGAAATGGAAATAGTAATAGTTCCTATGCTCTATTTATATTAAAAAAGATCAAATGTAGAAAAAAAATAGCCCAGACTCAAGCCTGGACTAAGCATCTGACTTATGCTAGCACTTGCTGTTAAACATGACCTCCCCAAAGCGCACACTCTGCTGTTCCATAAAGGTCCTCATCCTCATCTCAGCGTTGCTGTCTCTCCACTAGCCTGCCAGCCTGTGCTCCCAATCTACTCATCTTGAAACCCTCTGGTTAACTCATATTTCTTCTTCAATCCTGTCAAGTTCTTCTTATGACTTCTAAGGAGGTAGAAGTTGGGTTGACTTTGGATTCAACCTCTTTCACGTGGCTCACGGTAACTTCTCAGTCTTATCTCCTACAAGT